GGAAAGGTTTTCATGAGTTCTAGGAGCACAGGAAAGGAGAGGTAATTTTTGAAGAAATATGCACCAAATATGTGATTCCTCTAAAATATTTCTTTCAAATAGAGAAATGGAAGTGGTATGGAGCCAAGTACCTTCCTAGATGGAAACTCCTTGAGAAGTAATGCCCTATCTCTGGTACTAGGGGCACGGTAGTCAGAAAAATCTTCAATTAGGAAAAGAAATATTGAAAAGTAGGTCCTACTTGTATCATGGAGCCACTTCTTCCAGAAAGCTTTACTTATTGAAAACCTAACTGTGTTAAAAATCAGTAAAAACAGGCAGAAAACAATTGCTGAGCGGGCTCATCCTTCAATTTTAATTTTTCAAATCTTTATGACATAAGTTGTATGTACTACAGTATGCAGCACAATTACAATAAATCAAGTGTTTTTGCCCCAGTGAACTTCCAGAGGTTCCCTCCTCCCGCTCGTCGTTCTCACAGCCATGGCCCTTCTCCTGTGTGTGGGAGGGAGATACCGTTATTTATGACGGCAGGAGACTTGACCTTTAAATGTCAGTGTAAGTGCAAAATCTGGCCATTCTGTCTGTGTCGTCCACCTGCCTCATGGAGAACTGCGGGAAGCAGTGGATTGATAGTGTGTAAATGGGGAAGGAACACACCCTGGGTGCCCGCACCTTTTTATTACATAACCAAGAGGAATAAAGGCAGAACCGGGCTGGCTATGTTACCTCCTCCTGCGAGGCAGAAGAGTCACAGGGAGGCTGGTGCAGACCTGCAGGAGCGGATAACCGGCTGCTCAGAGTTGGCAGATCTTGCACCTGAGCTCCAGGGGCTGGCCCGCCCTTCCTGGTGACCTGTTACCCTAAGTTAGGCAGACAGAGTACGTGAGGCCAAGGCATTTATTATTCCTAGAAAGTTTCTCAGCAGACTCGTCTGTGCCTGGGGAGAAATGGAGCTGGAGCCAGAGCCTCCGCAGTGCAGGCCTGCATTCCGCACGGTGCGGGGCTCTTCTGGGCAGTGGGAGGCTTCAGGCAGCCTCTGTGCTCAGCCAGCCTCGGTGAGCAGATGAAAAGGTGTCCCTGCCTCACACCCGAAAGCCTCCTACTCGCGTGGATTACCCGAACAGTGCCTTTTCTGGCTCTTGTAGTTCAGCAGTATTCACGAAATGCTGTGTCTGGTGTTTGTCTCGTGTTCTCCTCTATCCTTTTATGCCTTTACATTGTGCATTATTTTTCTCCTTATTTTTCTCCCTCCAAATCTGTACGCATGTCCTGGCTTATCAGTGCTTATGTTACTGGCTGTGGCTGTAGGGTTTTAATTCCAGGACAAGAAAAGAACTGTTCATAAAGGGGTCCTTTCGGAGGGCTCAATCTCAAAGAAGCTTCTGCTTGGACTTTTCCACCTCCTTCTCCGCCTCCGTGTGGCACCACCCCTTTCCGCCGAGGTGTGTCCCTGCCTGGGGACTGTGGTGCAGACACAGGCAAGCCCAGTTCCAAGAGCGACGGTCATGCACAGCAGAGCTCCCGGTGGATGGGACCTCACAACAGAGTCCAGCCAAGACACAGTGTGCTTTAGAGAGCTTAATGACACGGCACTCTTTCTCGCTGCCATTTAACATACCTGCGGGAAACAGAAGTGAGGTTGTAAGTGTGTCTTTGGACCCCTCCACTGTCTGTTTTCCACAGTCCCTCAGCCTGCAGCCTCGGGGCATCCCCTCCTCCCCCTCCAGGGTCCCTCAGCCTGCTCAGCCTTCCTTCCTGGCTGCTCAGCCGCTCGCCCTCTCAGCAGGGTGGTTGAGGCCTTCCCCCGCTGCCATCGCGGAACCTGCACACGTTGCCCAGAGATTAATCCCGTCTCAAGCGTATCCAAAGCCCTTAATGCAGCGACGAGTATTTCAGTCATGCTCAGCAAACAGGAGATGCTGTGCTTATGGAGATTCACTCTGCTTGGAGGCAAGTGGGGATTAGGAATGACTTGCTTCCTCTTAGCACCTGTTCATATTTACAGTACAGAGTTTACCGTGTGCCTTGGAGAAAACGCTTTTGTTTTAACGCCTTGCCCATTTTGTATGGAGTTGCCGATCAAAGCCCCCGTTGGCTGGCCCCAGATCTGCAGTCCGTCCTGGCAGTGCTCTAACGTGCCCGGTAGGCTGGTCACCTCTGTCCCTTCTCTGTGGCATCCCATGGCCGCCGTACCTGCAGCCCTCATTCCCCTGGCGCTGTCTGCTGTCCTGAGTGACAAAGGCTCGGAAGAGGGACACGACCTGGTAGATTCCCGTGGGAGGTCAGGACCTCGAGCAGGGAATCGGAGTCTGGCTCCGCAGTGCTTCCTGAAGACCAGAGAGGGACCCCTGCGTAGTCCTTGTCATGCTGGAGTCTAGAGTGCACATGCGTGCTGAGGGGTGAGCAGGCCCTAAGTGCCACCTCTTCCAGGAACCCGGCCTCGCTGAGAGCAGCGTGTGCATAGCGGGATGTGGGTTTAGTCTGTGTAAAATTAAGCAGTGGGCTCGCCAAACCTGAGAAAAATAGCCAGAGCTTTGAATCACATGATCTTGAAGGGGAATGTTTTGACTGCTTTCATTTTAGTACATTTGATAAAAATGAGAGTTTCTTAAAAAAAAAAATAGGTCATTAAAATGTCCGCACTTTTCGTGACATAGTGTTTAAGGGCCTAAATCTCCTGTTAGCCCATTTTCTAAAATATCATGTTGAAAGATTTCTCAACTCCATCAAGTTTCCAGAGTCTCCTGGAAAGGCAAAGCGTGGAATCCTTTCATTTTCTCAGAAACATGCAGCCCTTGAAGAATTGCATCACAGTCGGGCGTGGTGCTGCACACCTGTAGTCCCAGCACTGGGGAGGCTGAGGCAAGAGGATTGCTGCAAGTTTGAGGCCAGCCTGGGCTACATGAAGACTGTGTCTCAAAAAACAAAACAACACAACACAAAACTGTGCTTAGCAAGTGAAACTCAAAATTGCTCCAAAAGTATGAGGAGGAACTGCCTCGCCTGTGAGTTTCCGATTCCCTTTCCGCTTGGAGTCTGTTCTTTCTTCCTCCTTAACAATAGGACTAGATCACTCTCGGTGCTTCAGATGCTTACTGTCTCTTTGTATAGCACAGTGCTACTTTCTCTTCTGCCGTCTTCCCTCACCATCCTCTGGCCCAGCGTTTACTGCTATCCAGACACCTCTGGTCCCTAGCAGCATAGGAATGACCTGGCTTCACTAACACAGGGTGTGAGCAAGGTTTTTGTCTTCTGTGTTGGGTGTCTTTACTATAATAATTATTGTCATTAGTTTGGGACAGGAAAGGGTCTTTGCAGCTAAAACCATATTAATTTTTCCAGAACATAGAATTTTTACTGTGTGTATGTTTTATATAAATTTAGAAAAAATAAATGTGACATTCAGTGCAATTTTATGAAACATCTGCTGAAATGGGTAACGGGAAAGTTAGCTGCTCCTGTTTGTGTGGTTTTTTTCTTCCACCTGCTGCATACTCTGGCTTCACATGACAGACAAAGGCTAGGTTAATAGTTGGGGAAATAACGTGAAAAGTACAAATTATGTTAACTGAAATTCAGGCTGAGGTAAAATAATTGAACAGTCTTACTGTTCCTAGCAGACAGTACATACTCATTCTGTGTGTTTGCAGCCCAAGCTTACGATAGACCCAACCATCTTCATTTCAGTAGAAATCGTGGGATGAAGTCCTGACTAAAGAAAATTTGGATTTACATGGAGCTTAAATGAATCTTTCAGAAATAAGCTTAAAATAATATTTATCTTTAGAAAAGAGTTTTTGGAGAATAATATTATTATTTACTAAAAAACACTAGAATATTAGTAAAAACACTTCAATAAAATAGGTTTTCTTTAATTCTTTTAAGCATACTTTTCAAAATAAAGGTATTTTCTTCCTTGAATGAGAGTTTAGTCTGGACTGCGTTTCAGTTAGTGTACATGCACATAAATACTTTGGTAACCGAGAGGACTATAATTCCAAACAGCTCTATCCATATCCCTGTTATAAGAACGCTTGCTATCTAAATGTTTACTTTTAAAACCTACAAGATTTGTTTTACTGCTAATTCGCTATCCAAATCCAGAGTCCTATTACAATCAATTCACTGGCATGAACTGGTGCTGCACGAGCAGAAACATTGAAATCGCAGGTACATCCAGGTGACAGGGTGGAGAATGTGTCTCGTATTTATTATGCTCTTCTCTCAAGGTCTGAGTTATGCATCAGTGCTCTCAAAGTAACAGACTGAATGAAAATGTCTTCTAAAAAAGCAAAGAGCCTATGAAGAAAACAGGCAAATTTGAGAAGACTAAAAGGCTCATACATGCAAAGGAAGATAAGAAGTGATAAAACATGATAAAAAAAAGCAAACTAAACTTGGCCATGCGTACATGCTAAGAACTATTCATTAGCATTTTCACTGTGTAAGAAGTAGAGAAAAGCTTATGAAAGTACTGTTGTTTTGGGTGTTGGTGTTTCAAATATATCAAGGGAAGAGTCTTTGTGGTTATATAGATTATTGAGTGTTGTAATGACATTTTTGAAAACTATTTTCTCTTTTTGGTACAGGTTAGACAAATTACTGGGTTTTGTTCCCTAAAAATGTATTTGACATGTTTTTTAGCAATAAATTAGGTCTGTTTCCTGTATTTCTCTTTGTATTGAAATCCCATGGGGTCTAATTCCATCATGTTGAAAATGAAAAGCTCAAGAGCATCCTTGGGACTTTGTCTCCTGTGTTTTCAAATTGCGTAGCCATGTATTTCTTTATTCTCAGTGATTTGCCTAGGACAGACTCTAAATCATTTATCAGCTTAGTTTTCATTCTAACTTAAATGATCTGAAGTTACTCCTTTAGAGGTTGATTTGGGGAGTAACCTAAAATAAATCACTTAAGCTTCAGACTTCTTGTTTCCCAACTCTGAATGTTAACTGTCGTGACAGATCCCTGAATGTAAATATTTACTGACGTTTCAGTTGTTTTTCAGATGGTGTCCTTCCTTAATAATGGGTAGTAGGATGTTTGACCCTGTTCTTTTGGCCAAGAACTCTTCCAAGTGCTTACATGACGTGACTGGTCCTCACAGCAGACCCGTGAAGTTGGAACCAGTGCTATCACTGTTCTGTAAGAGGCAGCTCGGTCCCTTAGCTGGTAAGGAGTAGAGCCATGACTGTGAACCCAGGCAGCCTGGTACCGCACTGAAGGACTCGAAACACTGCTAATTTTCCCCATAGCTTATTCAGAACTACGGTAGTTCATTAAACTAGTCTCAGGGCTCATCATTTGTCAATTTTTCCTTCCTGAAATGACTTGTTGGTCCTCAAGATGAAAGTAGAAATACTTACAAAGTAACTGAAAGAGAGTGGTTCCCAACTTATTCGTGTTCCGGGGCAGGGGATAGGAGCAGAGCTTTCCAGCGCTGGGACACCTTGCGTACGGGTGCCCCGTGGGGAGCAGGGACTGCAGGGACTGAGAGACGTGCCAGTCAGGAACAAGGGGGAGGGAAAGAGCGCAGCCCCACGAGCCCAGGGGCTCGGGAGAGAGCCGTGCGTCTCAGCTTTCCTTTCATCACCACCTCCCAAGGTTTCTCCCTGATAACATCCCCACTGTGAAATCTTAATACTACAGATTTTCTGCATATCTGTTTTGTACTGTACATGTAGATGTGCTTTGGCCATAAATAAGACCGCCTCCACCCCCAGGGGAAAAAGCAGTTTCTGTGAAAAACAGATATGAGGAGTGGTGGGGTGAGGAGCATGGCCGGAGGGGCTCAGGGAGCCAAGTGGGAGGGACTAATAAGCCCCGGGTTAGAGGGCTCCGCAAAGGCAGAGCGGGGCCTGAAGGAGGCGGGGACTGAGAGCTTCTTCAGCACATGAGGTCAGGAGTTTCTCCACATGGGGTCGTCATCACTTCTCTCCATGACACCCAGAGATGTGATAGAAATGTTTCTCTTTCTCATGATCACCCTACTCTTGTCATGCCCTTCCCTCCCTGGCTGTGTGTACACTCAGGGTGTAATCTGACTTACTGTGCTGTAAGGCAGTGTATCCTTTTAATGTGTGTGGTTTGAATTCTTTTTGTTTTCTTTAGAAATCAAATTTCCAAGATATTCACTTACTTTAAGTTCTTTTTAATTGCGTTCAGAAAATGGCTGCTATTCCAATTGGCTTTAATGAAAGTGCTTTAACTAAAAACTGCTGGGTGCTCACTTGAGATCTCTCATCCCCGAATAAACCTCAGAAAGAATCTAGCAGCAATTTGTATTCCAGATAAGGAGCATATGGGTTGTCCGTGGAACTCACAAAGCCAACTGATTTTTTGGTTCCTGGTCCCTTAGATTATCTTATATCCCAGTGGTGTCCCAGAAGAAATAACTATGACACTGAGCAAGTATCATGCTAACCTTTTCCCGTTTCAGTCTTACTTCTCTCCTGATTTTTCTGCCCCAGAGACTACATATATTCTAATACAGCATACATATCGAAGGCCCCAGTTAATCTTAAACAGTTAATCACCTCATAGAAGGTATGAGAAACAAAGCAAGGCAAGGCTTTCCAATATCTCTTTTTCTCCTCTAACAAGCTGTGGTTATTCAGTTACTCAAAAGAGCACATTCCTGGAATGAAAGGACTGGTGAAGAAAGTGTCCATGTAGGTATGGGAAAGGCAGTCTACCAGACTATTAAAGAGTGGAAAGAACTAGAAGAGCAGCCAGAGAAGGCCATGCCCCGGAGTCAAAAAGCTCGTTAGGAAAAGAAAATCGTGTGTTATGGTAGCGGGTGGCAGCCTGGGTTCTCGATAGAAGCCTCTGCAGAGGTTTTCAGCTCTTCCTCCCTTGGAGTTCTGATGCAGGGAGCTAGGGAGGGATTGTGGCGCCGGTGTTTTTCTTAAAAGCCTCCCCCCATGACTGCCATGTGCGTCCAGGTTTGCGAGTCACTGCTGCAGATTATCGCGTGTTTCCTCGTACATTAGCCAGGCTTTTGCGTATGCATAAATGAGGAAAACGGAACATTACTAATGCCTAGGGATGGTCCAGGAAACTAGCAAGTGGCAAGAATAGTGATGGTAAAACTAAGAATCTGGCAGAAAACAGTTTGCAGAAACTGGAGGGAAAAAATATCCCTCATCTTCTCAAGGTCTAAATTAGACCTAGTAGTAGGGGCTGGGGATTTAGCTCAGCGGCAAAGCGCCTGCCTGGCAAGCGCAAGGTCGTGAGTTCGGTTCCCGGTACCGGAGAAAAACCAAAAAAAATAAAAAATAAAAATAAATAAATAAATAAATAAATTAGACCTAGTAGCATAGAATTAAGAAAGACAGGCATGTCTGCAGTCTTGACAGCAAACTTCAGAAGTCTGAAAACAGTCATCTAATATTTTGATGCCAACTGCTTCCTAAAGCCCTGGGTTTATTCTGTAATGGCAAATATTAGAAAAGAAGAGAAAACAGTTGTTGCTAATCAAAAGGTATGTTAGAAAGTGTCAATATTTCTGCGTGCATCTTGGGACTGTCCACATGATTTGCTTGTATAGACAGGTAAAATGCTCTACCAGAGACCTTAACAGTTAGAATTAGTCATTCTGCAATAGAAATGGCGGGTGAGTGACCTCGGATAGAGCTGAAGAATGAAGTAAAGCCAGTGCTGTGCTCTGAGACTGGAGGGAAAGCTAGAAATCTAGTCACAGTGAGCAGGTGGGTGAGCAGAAAGCAGGAAATGGGATGTGAAGACGTCAGAAGTGCTTGGAGGCAGAATTCAGTCTGTGACCGAGAGAATAGTGCCTACTTTGTACACTGTGGGTAGTAAAGTGTCATCTATAGATCAGCCGATGGAGAGGAACAAGGAGTCAGGTGCAGAAGAGAAAATATTCCAGACCCTCAGTGTTCCAGGTAAGAAGCTGTGGTTCAGAACCTTCACCCTCTGGTTTCTAACTCACAGATAATGGCTCAAATAATCATTGTGATGGTTTGGCCCTTAATGTGTCTCCATTGTGGTGAGCACTTTGTATACTTTTTGATAGTCACAGCAGTTTTGTGACGATAGGCCTTATTGTGCCGCTTTTATAGATGAGGAAACTAAAGCACGGACTGAGCAACTTATTCATGGGCTATAAATGCTAGGGAGAAGATAGAGAAAGACTTGGAAGGAGAGGATAGTTCCTAGGTCTCCATGGAGGAGAGCAAACAGAGTCCAGAAAGAAACCCGCCTGTCTGTATGTTACAGTGGTGCGAGGTGACGGGGAAGGCAGGGCGAGGAGGAGTCTGAGGTGAGTGTCAGAGCCACCCCAGAAGGCTCCTGACAGTGTTCAGACTTGGAGTCTGGCTTGGAGATGGGGGCAAGCGTCATCTTTCGAGTGAGATCACTCCTTCCTTTTGAATGTGAGCAAGTTGTCGAGGCTGGAGTGGAAGGACGAGGCTGTTCTGGTCCTGACAGAGTAACGAATGTGTTGATGCAGAAGAGCAGTTGAAGGTGAAGGGAAAAGAAAGGCTTCACATTGTGCTGCAAAAGTCACACATAAAGTTCTGGTAGCTGATTGGGAGAAATGGATGAGGGGAAGGGAAGAATCTGACTAGAACCAAGGTTTCACGTTCAAGTGACTGGCTGAACTGCTGCCAGAAATGCAAAGCAGGCACCTGTGAGCAGCTGCCTTTGGAAGTACGGAGCTCACTGTGTGCAAGCTGTCAGCGGAGGGAATCCCTGCAGGAAGGGGGAAACGTACATTTGGAATTTAGAAGAGCCTGAGCTCTCACCTACATAGTGGTGCTGTGATTAGCTGGGAAAAGTGTGGAATCTCTGAAGATGTGAAAAGAAAGAAAATAGAGAACAGTCTCAGAAAACATTTAAATTTGGGACAAGAAGGAGGAAGAGGAGCAAACAAAGGACACCGTAAGGAGAGGCGAAGGAGGGCTAGAACACCACAAGCATGCACCCGTCCTCCTGAGCACAAAGGAGCAGAAGGTTCCAGAAAAGTGCCTTGGCAAATGCTAAAACCAAGAAGAATAAATTGGCAAGTTGTCAGGATCAAGAGTTACAGCAGAAGGAGAGGAGACAGACTTAGGGATGGTAGGGGGTGAAGGGGTCATAGCAGACACAGCAGGGCTGGTCAGGACGTTCAAGATTTTGACCTTGAGAAGGAACAAGAAGACATTAGCATAAAGGGTACAATATATGAGGTCAGTGCTTCGAGTTAAAGGGCCCTGCAGAATCGTTTCTTAGAAAAATGAGAGCCATCCTCAAAGGTGAGTGCAGATGTGTGGGAAATGCTGGGAGTGGCAGTCAGAGTGTCAGCGGCGGAGAGCCACACTGTCTGAGGTCCTAAACTGTTTTCTCACTCTATCATCAGACAAGCCAGAAACTCTTGTCTCATGCAGCGGTGCTTTTGGAGGAGGCAAGGACCAATGAACAGGATTATTTTTCTCCTCTTCTCTGGAGTACATGGATTTAATTTTCATATCCCAGGGCAACAGGGGGAGTTTTCTTACTGTAGACTATCTCTAACAACTAAAATAGCTCCCATGGGGAGGGAAGAAGGGAGGAAAGTTTTGATAATGAATTTGCATTGTAAACTATTAGGGTTTTTTATTAGTACTATTGCAGAGTCCACTGCATTTTTAGCCTGTTTTTTAAAAAATAGTTAAATGCACGGAAGTACATCATATTATTTAAATGTTCCTTCACTCACTCTATGTGAGGCAGAAGCTTTCTAGAAAAAGAAAAGTGGAAGAGTACTGAGTAGTAGCTACTGAGTGATACTTTCCATTGCTGTGGACCTACGTAGGAAACGAGAATAAAACATTCACCAAAAGATCTGCTGCACTGTCTTATCCTGTGCAGGAGCACAGGAAGGTGGTAAGGAACATAGGGATGTCAGAAAGGATAAGACAGGCCTGAGGAGCGAAAAGGTGAAGGGAGACTGGGTATCCATGGGAATGTACAGATTCTCCCTCTTCTGTGGGGCCAGCCGGTACCACGTGTGTCCTGTGCCTTCAGAAACAGTCCCTGGAGCCCCATTGCTGTCACATTTCTGCAGTCCTCAGACGGGGAGCAGAGTGCTGAAGGTTGTTAGCACATCTCCCTCTGGAGTGGAAACTGGGCTCAGCACCAACCAGCAAACACCAGAGGGGACTTGTCGCTTTTCCATGCCTGGATCACGGCTATTCCCTGATGCCCAGAAGAATTAAGTCCAATATGTGCCTCACTACATTACACACTGCATCTTGAGCAGCTGGGCCGTTAATACAGTTTTAAAAGAAGCGAGAACTGGCTGCTCACCAGCTACACGTAAGCTGCTCCTAATAAATCTCTCAATGAGGGGATATAAAAAATTTCTGTTTCTGAACATCTGAAGAAAGCAGAGCATTAGGCAGGTATCCAGTGGGTACCATTAACAGCAATAACCAACAAGGGAGATCCAGGGGGAGTTGTTCCACATTTCTGTTAGCAGTGGCAGGGTTTCTTTTACCTGAAATATGCTGGTAATTATCTCACTTGCAAAATTCAATTTGCCTAAGAATTAATAAATGTGGTTTTTTTTCATACTTACTGAATCTTTTCCATGTTCTAGATGCACATAAAATTAAAGCCTCATTTATCAACTGTTTTTTTTCACTTTATATCTGAAATTATAAATGAGTAAAGGCTACTTTATATCTGAGACAATAAAGCAGTAAAGGCAGAGCTATGATTTACTTTCAAGAGAATGGACATAATATAACAAAACTGGAGAGATCTGCAAAAGTGTTATATATGAATTGTCCACTCTAAAATTAGTAAAGTGGATTATTGACCATGTTAAAGGAACACAAGAGTTTTAATGTGGATGTAGTGACTAAGGGCAAACTTAATAGTGTCAGAACAAGGAGTTCTCTTAGATTGTACACACCAAAGCACTGACAAAATTAGCCTGCAGCATGAGTTAGAGAATAATAAACATGATGGTGGATGGTAGTGATTAAAGATAATTTTCATCTACAATATTTACTTTTGAAACATTTGCTCGCCACAGTTGGAAATGTGCCTATCGTGATCGCTTATACTCTGTAACGAGATAATCTCAGCGTCTAGGAGGATGCCAAGTCTCTTGCTGTTTAAAGAAGGGAGTGAAACATGCATTTGGACCATTTAATAACAGTTTCAGCCCATCAAAGTATTAGTTCAAAAGTAGGAAGATATCACCAACCTCTGTTGAGTCCATCTGAATGTTTATCTGATCTGTCAAATTATTCCTACTGGCTCAGATTTTTATAATAGTAAAATAGCAGACACATTTACCATTTTAGATATTTTATGCTTTAACAACATTAAAAAGCTGGGTGCAGTGGCATGCACCTATAATCCGAGCTAATTAGGAAGCTGATGTAGGAAGATCACATCTGAGCCTAGCCTGGGCAAGTTAGCAAGACCCTCCTCAAAATAGAAAAGGGGAAGGTTGGGGAGACGAGTACAACAGCAAACAGAAACACCAAGAAGTCACCCAGGATTTGGAAGCAGATTTATTTACATTGATGGGCACGGACCTGTAAAAACCGTCAGGCCTCAAAGGCTCAGGGAGGGAGGTTTTATGGGGTTTGCAAGCAAGAAGCAGAGTGTTTTGTGGTTGTTGATTGGTTCTTACAAGGTGTATCATAGTGGCCAGCTGTGCCTCACAGTGACCAGCTGTTTCTAAGAAACAGAAGTAACAGGAACTGTAACAGGAACTGAAGTAAACTGGAGGTTACCTGGGCAACTAAGAGAAATTGAAGTATACTGGATGGAGCAGTGCATTTTCTTCTACAAGAAAGGAGAGAAGGGGGCGGGAGAAAGAGGTCCTCTGCACTTCCAGAGGTCACTCCCCAATACCACCACCAGAAACAAAAACAGAGCTAAATAAAAGCAGTCAAATTCTTTCTTGTTAGATTTCATCTTTCCTAGAATTAAAATGCCTACCCCAGAATTACTGAGATAGGTACGGTATTTTCATGCCCATTTTTTCAAAGCCAGCAGAATAAAGAACCCATGGCACCATTAAGCATTCTTTGGGGGACACTTAAACGACCTGCGGTTTGTCTATGTTATGGCTATGCTTTAGCAACCAGTTTCGCTTTTCCAAATGTTTGAGTTTATTTCCTCAGAATAGCTTTCATGAAATGAAATTACTAGATCAAATGGTATGAATATTTTAAAGCTCTTATTTCTAAGCTTATTTCTAAATAGCTTTCCAAAAGCTATGTATTACCTTACACTTGGCAATATATGAGATTTATAGTATTACCCAGGGCTTAACAAGCTGCTAATAAGACCATATTACTTTTATTTGTGTTTATCTCCTTCCCAGCGGGCTTACAGTTTTTGCAGGTATTCATTTACAGTGCTTTTATATATTTGGTTCTTAATTGTTGTTTTCTGTCGGTTGGCTTAGTTTTCTAAGCCTGAGTCTCATCCATCCCCTCCTCCCCTTTATTGCTTTGTACAGGCTCCCATGATTCATTCAGCTACTGGGTAGATGAAAAGTCCCCAGTTGGGCCCGACCAGACCCCAGCTATCAAACGCCTGGCCAGGATCTCCTTGGTGAAGAAGCTCATGAAGAAATGGTCTGTGACTCAGAACCTCACCTTCCGGGAGCAGCTAGAAGCTGGAATCCGCTACTTTGACTTGCGTGTGTCTTCTAAACCAGGGGCCACTGATCAGGAGATCTACTTCATCCATGGGCTTTTTGGGATCAAGGTCTGGGATGGGCTGATGGAGATCGACTCATTCCTTGCACAGCACCCCCAAGAGATCGTCTTCCTGGATTTCAATCACTTCTATGCCATGGATGAGGCCCATCACAAGCGCCTGATTCTCCAGATCCAGGAGGCATTTGGAAACAAGCTGTGTCCAGCCTGCAGTGTGGAAAGTCTGACCCTGCAAACCCTGTGGGAGAAGAAGTGCCAGGTAGGAGGGAAGCAGCGATGAGCTTACGAGGACAGGAACCTAATTTCTTTCATTGTGTGATCTGTTTGACAGCTGAACTGACTTAGAATGGCCAGAACCAGCCCAAGGCAAAATCAGGAAATGGGTCAGTTGGTCATTACCATTCTGTCCCCCATAAGGTCCATTATCACCCCCACGTAGGTCCCCTCAGATAATTCTTGTGGAAGTACTGGCAAGGAAGAGCATTAGCTGACAGAAGCCTGTGAGATCATTCATCACGGGAGTGTTCAGACTTTAAAAGGCCTTCTTCATGGAATTTGGGTCATAGTAAGAGAAGTGTTAGGGAAGGGAGAAGCCATGGAAGAGGGTCCAGGAGCATTTCCAAGGTTCCCTCCGTGGAGAGAAGCTTCCAGACCTAAGCCCATGAAGGAGAGTCTGGAAAATGAATGTGGGCCTCAGACATAATCCACTGACCCTAAGGGAGGAGCTTCAGGCGAAAGCAGCCTCCAATTTAGATTCCCTGTAAGAAAACAAACACCCCAAGGAAACGTAAACCAGCAAGTACTTTCCATTCAAAGTTGCTCACTTGCTTAATAGATTCATTAAGTAAAACACCCCAAAAGATCTTTTCATTACAAATAAGTTAAAGATTATTCATGTGTAAATATTTACTGAACATCAAGTATATACCAAGCACCATATAAGGATTTGGAATAAATGAGTAAATAAAATAGACAAAGGTCCTTGTCCTAAGGAAGCTTTCCTTCAAATGGAGGGAGACAGATCACAGAATAAAGGTGGTAAATACCGGGTATCTGTACTGATACGAGCTAGAGAGTCTAGCGTGGCACGAGGGGAACGAGCAGGCTCTGTGGATGGAACAGTTGCTTGAGGTTTTGCACAGCTGGAGTGTGGCAGCCCTCACTGAAAAGAGAGCATTTGAAGAAATAAATCAGATTGGTATTGGTGGTCAGGGGAAGCGAGCAGCTAGTCAGAGGCCTGAAGGCAGGGAGGTCCCTGAAATTTCTAAGGAAAAACAAGGGCAATGAAGTTGGTGAGCAGGCCAGGGCTGCGTAGCAGGAAGAGGTCAGAGAGACGAGGTGGCCGCCTCAGAAGAATTTTGAGGCTGTGCGTGACTGGGATCCCTCCGATGCCTGTGCCAGGAAAACGTCGAGGGTCGGGACTGAGCAAATGTAAGGAAACTAGTGAGGAGACCTAGCGGCAAATGGTCGTGTTAGGAATGTATCAGAAGGCGCAGCCAGCAGGGACTGCTGGTGAATAGATTCCGGGGGAAGGAAAGTGAAGATTCAAAACAGCTCCCAGGTTTGGCCCAAGTAACTGGAAATACCAGGTGGCTTTGCACACGCCAATAGAAGTGCTGTCTTTGACTCCGTGGAGGCTTAATGGGTTAATTCTAGGTATTTGTTAACTTATATCCAAGCCATTTTACCTCACTAAAAGTTTTGTAAGTGATACTTTGACAAATATTTGTCACGTCTCTCTCCACAAAACTGAGCTTATGTCTGACCCTCATGCATCTACCTTGGGGAGATGCTACTTCCAGCGGAGTTCCCATCTTAAATCACGGAGTGGTAATAGCAAGAATAGCAGCTCACATCTGCGAAGCCATTCCAGTGAGCTAGGTGCGTGGCTTAACCCATGCTATCCTCGCCACACAGCATAAGCCAGGTACTCCTTGTTATCCCCGCTTAAAGATGAGGGCCTGATGGGGAGGGAGATGGAGCATCTTCCCAAGGGAGCGTGGTCCGTGAGGGTCCTGCGGGGTTCCCTCACAGGTCATCTCATCCGCGCCAGACTCCCGCCGCTGTGTGCTCTGGCTGTTGGCGCAGCGGGGTGGCATTCCCAGCTGTTCTTGTGGGTGCCACTCACCCACACACTTTGTCTGTATTCTAAGCCCCGATGTCAGAGGGCCTCTAAGGGTTAACAGAAGTGGGAGAAAGGGTGTGGCTTTTGAATACAGTTCATATCAGATTGAGTTTCAGTTCACGCAAAGTTTTATCATTCTGCACACACTATTCTAATGGTTGCTGTATTGCATCCTAAGATGATTAAAATCTGCAGGAGTAGAAAGAACCTTCAGGAATAATGAAGAGTGCGGACAGTGAATTTCTAGCAGTGGGGTGATGACCTTAGTTTTAAGGGTGAGCTAATTAAAGCAGTCATCCAGCTACAGGTACTCCTAAAGTTATGAAGGAGACTGGTGATATATCAGAGTGGAAGGTATCACCAAGTTAAATCCTAAGATCCTCTATCCTCCTTCCTCATGTTTTCCCTTTTATATCTCTTCTTAAAAGATGAAGATTTCAAAGAGAGTTCCCAGTCACCTCTCCCCTGCCGGGGTGCATATTCATTATGTTATGAGCTACCTTAATATAACCCCCTGAGTACTTTATTACTGCAATTCAATATTGTGAAGTACCCTACCATTCAAATTTAATTTACCAAACATGCAATTACAACACAGCTCACAGATATATATTCATATATTATATAGGATATGGGTTTTCTGAAGCAGTTTTTTTTTGTACCAGGAATTGAACTCAGGACCTTGCACTTGCCAAGCAGGCACGTGTGCCACTGAGCTATATCCTTGGCCCCTAAGATGTGGGTTTTGAGGGTACAGTGAATTAGAAGATTTAATGTATCTCTTGGAAGTGTTTAGGGTTATAAAGACAAGGTAAAAATACAAAACCCAAGTGAAATACAAAACAATTGATATACAACTGCGAGATAAGACTGCCTTAAATGTTCTGTACAATGTAAAGAAAGAGGTTTTGTAATAAATTAGTTGAAAAGTAGAACACAGCATAAATTTGCATCCCAGAGGCCCTCAGTAAAGGAATGATCGGAATAAGAGGAGGTCAATTAAGCAATGGTTCTTAAAGGAAATGAGATATTTTATCTGAGTCTCAAGAGAAAAACTGAACACGAACTGCTGAGCTGGAGGGGAGAGTATTTCAGGGGAAAAAAGGCAAAGAGAGTCGGGGGGTGGTATAGACGAGAAGTGTGCTCCAGGCAGGAGTCACTGCACCCGGATTCTTGAGGAAGGAGAGCTTGCTTGCTGGGCCAACTTCCTGCTGCAAGCCAAAATTTCCCATAACCTTCAGTTCAACCAGGGTGTTGAGGAATGTCAGCCCCTCCTGTGTAATTTGTGCTATTTGCATCTTTTCCAAGGCAGAGTAAAGGACTGCCTTGACCTCTTATGCCCTGACGCTGGGACCGGGGGCCAGAGTCACAGGATACTGTGACAAGCCTGTCATAAGATGCCACGTGGCAAGGCCTGTCACAGGGCTGCACAGCTCCTGCCTCCCCCGCTGCCCAAGGCGGCTCACCGCCTGGCCCTAGCCTTCCAAACTAACCAGTTGCACCACCTGGGAGCAGGGCGGGAATCCTCTGTGCTAACCCAGGCAATCTGCTTAAGGTGAGCCTGTGATTAACCTCGTTAACACGCGTGTTTACCACAGACATCGTTAGCAGTCAGTCAGCATTACTCAGAACCAATGAAAACAAGGACAGCCATTACCCCTCGTGAGGCATCCAGCCTGGCTCTGGGCCTTCACGAGTGGCTCCTCACGTGCCTTTGCCGCAGCCGAATGCGTACTAGAAACGACGACCCGCAGAGCCCTGTTCGTGGGAGGCTGGAGGATTACGCTCTGGGCCAGCTGGTGAGGACTGCGATCCAGGCATGGGACACAGACAGACATTCCCCGAGGCAGAGCCCACTAGTGCCTCTGAGGAAAAAACACATGACTTCTAGAAACCTACCCAGCAGAGCTCCAGATTGGGACAATCAAAATAGCAATTCCCTGTCCCACAGTTGCCTTCCAGATACTAATTAATGCTGTGGATGTGGCTTGCTAATGATTTTCAAAATTACCACCATCCTGAGCAGTCCCACTGGAGACTCCGCTTCAGTGAAGTCTTCCCTGACCTAGCAGCACCCTCCCTTCCTCTCCTGGGAAAGACGGTTTCATTCAGAGTCAGCTCACATACAGAGCGGAAAAGCTGTTTGCTCACAAGTTAAGTCGGTGTGTTTTTCTTAACTCTCAGAGCTCAGTGTCCAAAGACTGCCCCGGGGCTGAATGGGTAAAATTTAACAGGACTAAATTTGGATGGTGGAAAATTACAGATTCATTTTTACTAGTGTTTAACTAAAAATGCATGTACTCATCAGTTAGAGTGCAGGCAGCAGCCCACGGCAGGGGGCCCCCACCTGCTACTCACCCCACCCGTGATCAGACCGCACTTCAGTTACTGAAGGTGTCTTAAGGTATTTATGCTATCACTAACTCAAAATTATGGAACTTTTTGGGCTCACGGGAGTAATGTTATTTAATGTATTTATCACAAACACATACAGGTATTATAAATCTATTTAATATTTTGAAATGTATGTTTCCGTGTTGTTGATTTCCTTCATAATGTTGTGCATTTTGTTTTATGCATTGATTTAAAACACAATTCTAAGAAGTTGGTCTGTGATTTTACCATAGTTGTTCATGACAAAAAAAAATAAATTTTTGCATCAGCCATATAGCAAATGTGCTGTAAACCTTTGCTTATTGATTTTTTAGAATATATAAAGTTTCTAAATTTCAAATACATTGGTTTGCTCCCAAACAACAGTGTTACATCAAGGGGTTGACATTTAGCTTTTTCACAATCTGTTCTTTTGTTCTTCTGAAAATTTCAGGTCCTTATTTTCTACCACTGTCCCTTGTACAAGCAGTATTCTTTCCTGTGGCCCGGAAAGAAAATTCCAGCACCCTGGGCAAATACCACCAGTGTTCGCAAACTGATCCTCTTCCTGGAGACCACGCTGAGCGAGCGAGCCCCGCGCGGCTCCTTCCACGTCTCCCAGGCCATCCTCACGCCCCGAGTGAAGACCATCGCCAGGGGCCTGGTTGGCGGCCTCAAGAACACCCTGGTTCACAGGTAAGACTCCGCTTCTGCCCCACAGGTAAGGTTTTTAAGAAGACACCTATCTTGAGTCTCTTCTAAATGTACACAGTAAAACTTACAGTTGAGGGATTTTTTAAAAAACAACAAAAATCTTATATTTGAAAAAGCTGTATATTTCAAGATGATTGCATTAATTGTGCCCTAAAGAACCCTAAACACTTTTTAAAGATGTATTTATAATCTACAAATATTCTCTAAATTTTTATACTAAGTTAAGCACTTCAATGTTCTCTTCTGGCACATGAGCCCATCCTGACCTGCCCCTGGCTTGCAGCTGACCCCAGTTCTCTCATCTAAAAAGCACTTAGTACAGAGCACTGTGCTAGGTGATAGGAATTCAGAGTCAGCCCTTCAAGAATTTCTTCTTCTTCCCTGTGAGTCCTAAAGTAGCATGCCTCAGCTTCGGAAACTTCCTCAGGGCAGAATTAAGCCTGACTGCATCATTAGGGCAGGAAACACTCTAGTCCAGATATACTGCAGGAGATGATGTTCTTTAACCTGAATACCGATGAATAACAGATGTTGTCAAGAAAAAAGAATTTATATATGTATATAAATGCATATATGTGGATGGATATATGTACATGAATGTGGGTATGTGTATATTTAGAAGTGTGTCTATATGTATTCATGTATATGTGCTATATATAAAGGAAATGTTATAAATACATTTGAACAGCAGGGTGTCCCTTGGAATCCAACCTGAGAGCTAACATGTTTGAGTAACCAAAGATACTTACAAGATCAGTTTGGTTCCTGAGTTCTAAATGGTGAGCAAAGTTCAGATAATGAAAAGTTTGTCCAGATATATGGTCCTGTTGGTCTGGTTCTGAATTTGGATAGCATGAGTTCAGATAACAGTGGCTCATCTAATCAGGGGTTTCAATAGCAAGAGGCATCTGCATTTTTCTTCCTTGATGAGAGCACCTGCTTATATCAATCACAGACCGAACCAGAAACCTCTTTCCATGGGGATCTATTAAGTCTTGACTAAATTAGTTGTACTCAGTTTGGAAAAACAGAATTTTATATACCAGTGTGATATCCCTTTGAAGGATCCAGAGTTGAAAACTCTTTTTTTCTTAATATATGGTCACACATCCACACCATTTTCCTGCATGTCTTTGGTAAATTTGTAGATTCACATTATTTTATAATTAATTAATTATTTTTATTTTAATGTACTACATGTAGATATTAACATTAAAAAGCACTTTTCTTCTATGAAAAAATAAAGCATTTTTATAACAAAATAATTGGAGAATAGCAGTAGTTAATAATATACTGTATACTGTGCCATAATCTTAAAGAATGGCCAAAATGTTACTCAGAGTGCAAGTCATGGACACAAAAGATTCTCTCTTACAAAAAGTGAACTAAGAGAAACTAATAGTATAAGTGAAACAGATGAACACTTCTAACATTATTCAGTCACCAAGCTGAGTGCCTAGGAGATGGGTGCAGAGGTACACTTACAAAATGAGCGTTGTGGTCTCCGTCTTGTAGAATTCAGGCTTGCAGGAAAAACTTGCATGGACATTTCTGTACAGCAACTTGGAAATCTCTCTGAAAAGTGAAATATCCGTGCAATGCATGTGTGGTGCTATGTGACTGTAATCCCAGCACTCTTGGAAACTGAGACAGAAGGACTGAAAGTTCAGTTCCAACCTGGGCAACTTAGTGATTTAGCAAGACTCTGTCTTAAAATAAAAAGACTAGGAGTGTAGCTCAGTACAAAGACTGTGGGTGAATTCCCAGTACAGATAGATAGATAGATAGATAGATAGATAGATAGATAATTCAGAAAGCTGTAGTAATAGAGAGGGAATATTTAAAAACATGAATATATAGGAAGCTAAGGGACCCAGATGACATAACTAGAAAGAGTCAATAGCCTGGGCCGCTGGCTTTTCCAGTTTGCAGAACTGGTGTGGATACACCTTGTTTCAGCGCCCTGTTCCTTTCTGCTCCACAAGCCTAGAACTGGCTGGTTAGTACCTGGATTTAGTCGGAACTCACTGGTGACAAGTGTTAACCTACGTCACATAATTTTCATACTGTTAAACTCTCAGAACTAGTTACCCATGAACCCTAGGCTCCCCATTTAAGATAATGGTGGTGGCCTGTACCTAAAGCCGAGGTATCCCAAATGCCAGACTTTGGCCAGCAGGCAACAATCAGATATCCCCGAGACTGGAAAGATTCTTTGACATTTTAACCTCTTCTGGTCACATGAATGTCATGAGTGTGGTCACGCATTCCTGTGCAGGCACACCGGCTACAGGAAGAAACGCATCTCCGGGCAAGAATTTGTTCCCAAATGCCAGAACACCACATAGTTGTCATTTCTTCTGAACTACTGAGCAAGTCCAAGTTCTTCCCTTAGTACAGACACTCAGAGGGTCTGTCCTAGCTGGTGAGCCAGCTTGGGCCTTGATTATCAGCTCAAACCAAGAAGAAGACGACAAAGTATGTTCTCCTACAAATGCAGAGGTGATTTTCTCAGCAGCGAGTTAACTCCCCAACCCTTAGGTGGACTTTGGACCTGACATCTTGTTCAGCTTGGCTGGTCACCTTAGAAGGAAGCCACAGAAACATAGCCTCTCTGGCTAAATCCCTATGGTGGTTCTGAAATTCAGATTCATAGCATTCCGACTGACATCTAACAGAAATGAGTTTTGCCTAAACCCGAGGACAGAGCAGCCATGGGAAGAGGAAGAGCAGCCTTAGAAGGGGGCATGGACTGAAGTCAGAGGCTTGGCGCTGAAGCCCGACAAGGTCCCTGCTACGGGCTGAATTATCCCCGCTCCAGCAAAAGCCCTAACCCCACCACCCCAAAATATGACCACGTTTAGAGAAAAGGCCTTATAAAGGGGTCATTAAGGGGCTGGGGATGTAACTTGGTGCTAGAGTGTTGGCCCAGCAGGCAGGAGGTGCTGGGTGCAATCCCACCACCACCGAAAAAAGGTGACTCAGTGAAAATGACACCATTAGCGGGGGCCCTAGTCCAGTCTGAGCAGGGGCCTGGAGGGAGGGAATGTAGACACACACAGAAAATGCCGCATGAGAAGGTAGTGAGGCCACGGTCATCCACAAGCCAAGGAGAGGGGCCGCGCGAGAAACCAAACTTGCAGCGCTTTACGCTCAGCCTCTGGAGGAGGAGAAAGTGAAACTCAGTTGTTTGAGGTGAGCCGTACTTTGTTGTGGCAGCCCATGGGAAAAGGAAGGCCTGGAGGCCTGGTGCATTTCTTGACAACGCCGCGGCCTTGGACACGTTTTCTGAGGTCTCCGTGCCTCACCCACTAAATGGGGTAATAATACTTCATAAGATTGCAGTCTAAAACTGAAGACACCTAGCTCAGTGCTTGTCACAAAGTAAGCATGCCATCTCTGCTTCTAAAGAAACCCAGTGCCCGACCTGGGGCGCCCCCAGGTCAGAGGGAAGCTTCAGCCGACTGCCCTGCAGCCTGTGGAGGTCGTGGTCTTGGGGCCCGGCAGTGTTATCTGGCCGAGCCTTTGCCATGGACCTTCCGCCCTGGTATATGCCAGGAGTTAAGAAAATGAAGCGGCTCCTCTTTGGACAAGGTTCTGCGTTTCCCTTTCTCCCTGTGTAATCCTGGTAACCCGACCCTGCCCTGGGGAAGGTTGACACATGCACCGTGAACCGGACACAGAACTCTTTGTTCCTGGGGATCACAGGTACATACCTTACCCATGTTGCTCTGCTCAGGCTCCAGAAAGGCCCCAGGTTTGGCTGGGGCTGCGGTTGGCCGGGGCGGCCTCCAGGCCTCCGATGCTCATTTCAGTATGATGGCCAGCAGGTGGCGCATGCATCTCATACTTAAACACGAAGGCTTTGTAAAAGTCTTGTTAAAAACGTCTGCTGCGTCCTCCACACCAACCACGTGAAAGTCGCTGTCTCCAGGCACGTCCTCCTGGAGCCCTTCGTCTTCAGCTCACAGCGTGTTGTTGCACAAGTAGCAAGACATGACTATTTTATGTTCTTTTCCTTGTACCGAATAGTTACCTCGTACCTACTATATCCCAGACTCTGCTCTAAATTCTTTATATGTATTATTTTACTTAATCCCTCCAAATCTCTCTGAGATGTCATTGTCCCCATTTTACAGGGGAAAGGCTGAGAGACAGTGAAGTTCGGTGACTGAAGATCAGATTGAGATTATTATACCTTCAGGGTCCCAGCTAAAAAAGGAAAGACGTCTGTTAGGTCATAGCCAGCTATTAATAGAAAATGTAAATTGATCCCTGTCTGTGTGGTAGGCTGTGTTTGATTATAGTGTCCAGTGAGCGAGAGAAGAGACCCAGGATAAGAGCGAGAACTGCCAGCAAGGCCTCAGCGGCAGTCTCTAAAACTAAAAAATCAGTGTGTGTTCTGAAAGAAGGGACACAGGCTTAAAGGAAACACAGAGAGAATGAAAGCCAAAGCCTGCCTCACTAAAAGAAGCACAAAGGCCAATTAAGCTAACATTTATTTTCAATTTTGGCCTAGAACAAATCTTTGCTAAAAAAAAACTTAAGTCCCCTACTTAACCTTCCCTAAACCCTGCTTTCTATCTTTCTCAAGTCCTTTTCACCCTCGTGAATACGAGTGAACTGTTTTACCAGGACGCCATTTTTAGCACACTTTATTGCTCTCTCCTCTGCACTGCCAGTGGTATTGCTGACAGAGGAGCCATCCCTTGAACTGAAATTATGTCTCTTAACTCTGAGCTTCATTGGGCAAAACTTTCAGCCCGTCACATCGGAAGCCTTCAGTTTGTCACATGGCACTGACTGTGTTCATGAGACAGCTGACTTCAAAAAACACCAGTCTCATTGGTCTCTCGCTTTGTGACAGTGCATCTGTCTGTCTCTATGGGAAAGGTGAAACCTGATCCCTATTTATGTCATGTACAAAAGTTCACTTGAGATGGGTCTGAGAACTAAACGTAAAACCTAAACTCACCAAGCTTTTAGAGGAAAATAGAAGAATGTCTTTGTGAACCGGAAATAAGCAAGTATTTGTTAGATCACAGCAATGAAAGAAAAAACTTAGACTTCAACAAAATCAAGGAATTCACCATCCAGCTATGTCACTGAGAAAATTAAAGGCAAACTAGAAGATGGAGGAAAATACAAAGTATATCTGACAGAAGACTAGCATCCAGTTGTATAAATCACACCTGCAAGTCAACATTTAAAACACAGACAGGGGCCGGGGATGTAGCTCAGCGGCACAGCGCCTGCCTGGCAAGCGCGAGGTCGTGAGTTCGATTCCCGGTACCAGAAAAAAAACAAAACCAAAATAAATAAATAAATAAATAGAACACAGACAGTGAGAAAAGAGTAAAAGAAGTGAACAGATAACTTCCAAGAAGAAGATACACGGATGGCGAGCACAGGACAAACTGCTTGCGACCGTCATGCACTGGGAAAAGTACACATTAAAACTTGGTGAGATATCGCTACGCACCCACTGCGACGACTAAATTCAATGACTAATCACCCACTACAGTGACTCTGAAATTTTAAACTCTGAAATTTTAGGGAGCATGCGGAGCAGTCAGACCTCTCATGCACTGTTGGTGGAGCACACAGTGGAACAGTCTTTTTACAAAAAGGTCTGGCAGTTTCTTACAAAAATTAATGTAAGCCAACCTTATAAAACAGTAATGTTTAAAAATGTTTTTGGTACCAGGAATTGAACTCAGGACCTTGGCTTGCCAGGTAGGCACTTATGCACTTATACCCAGCCCCTAAAACAGTAATTTTATTACTTGGTATTTAGCTAAGAAAAATGAAGACAAGTGTCCATGAAGACTCGTAGAAAATGACCATCATAGTTTAACCAGAAATAGTCAAAATTGGAAACAGCCCATGGAGTCATTGATAGAATAAGGAAAAACAAATTGTTACATCCATACAAGGGAATACTATGGAGTACATAAAAAGGAAAAATATGGTACATGCAACCACATGGGTAAATTTCAAAACCATTATCCTGAATGAAAGAAAGCTCACACACAAAAATGTATACTTAATGGTTGACATGGACTTAAAGAACTGACTATGGTAGGAAAAATATCCGTACAAGAGTTGGCTCTGGAAGAATGCGGAAGGGACTGACTGGAAAAGCGCGTGCCAGAACTTGCTGGGGTGTCGCCAGTGCGTTGTACCTTGATAGGGATTTGCATTATTTGTGTATATTTATCAGCACTTAAGAGGTGTGCATTTTGTTGCGTGTAACCCTTTATTTCAAAGGAAAGGCAAACTGGAAATAAACATCGTATGCAGGATGTCATATGCGTGATAGTTATCCTATGGATGCTGAAGCATATAGGGGACATCAAAATATATCAGAACATAAGACGGATTCACGGGAGGGTGGCGATGAATGGATAGTGTACATGGGGCAAGTAATGTACAGCCAAACAATACTGGTGGGCTCGAGCGGTAGAATTTTACTTAATGTGAAACCCTTTTCATGTTGTTACATGTTTGACATTTTTCATGCTTTAAAAAAAAAAATCAACCTACAGATACTTAGACTCCTGAGTTTACTGTTTCAAGCTTCTGTTGACAGGGTTATGTCTCTGATGCCTGGGGTGCATAACCTCCTTTCCCATCAAACCTTGGTGAAATATAGACTGCTTCATCCTTGATGAAGGTGTAAAGCTTAAGTTAACACAACCCTAGGCACTTGTGCATTTATTGTTGTACTTTTGGTATATTAATGGAAATGTTTTGTTTCCATTTCTGGAGGATTCCTAACCTCTACTCTGTTCTCTCTTCCCCCAATACTTTTCTGTGTAGAAATCTTCCCGCAATCCTAGACTGGGTGAAAATTCAGAAGCCTGGAGCCATGGGTGTCAACATCATCACGTCTGACTTCGTGGACCTGGTGGACTTTGCCACAACTGTTATTGAGTTGAATGACCTTCTACAAGCGGACAGATCACTGGCTAAATGCTGATTTAGTTTTTTGTTTAACTTGACGTTGACGTTGTTGGTTCAGGGTAGAGTTCTGAAGGGTTTCCTGTTAGGATGGCCCCTAGGCACTGATGGTAAAGTGAATAAGGAGGATAAGGGCTTTTTCTTTTCCTTCCTCACAGGGCCATTCGGATAAAATTGCAGGGCTCTTAATTGCATTTTTCCCAAATGAGACTTTTAAAAAAAACCTTTTAAGTCCAAGGGAAGAAAGCACGTTTTGTGTGATCAAGGTCAGAATCTCCCCAGTGGCTTGCATTGGTGAATGGAATATGAAAGTAGGTTCTCTTAAGTTCCTCTGATTGGCCTAGTTTCCTACCGTTTTCCAGAGTCTTGAGTTCGAGCCATGGCAGTGCTGAACTAGAAAGGCATTCCTGGTCCAAAGTCTGGCTTATGCGGCAGTGCACTGCCTTGCCTGGTACCGCTGACTTCAGCCTGCGGGTCTGGGGGAGGCCCAGCCGCAGCTCTCTCTAGGGCTCTTAGATGTCACCACCTCTTGTCTGAGACTTGACTCTCAAGTGAGACTTTTTAGCACCAAGGTGGTTCAGCCACAGGCTGTTCGCGCACCACTTGTGTACGTAACTGATCACCTTAATCTTCAGATAATCAGTACCACTGCCCCTTGGTATCGGAACATGTTCTCACTTTCACAACCTAGATCCATTTTCTGTTTCTTTCGGTCCCTTCTTAAAAGTGAAAAGAACAATGACAGCAGATCTTTTCACTCTGGGGCCCAGCAAAAGACAGACATGGATGTTTGCTGCATGCCAGGTTCCTTCGATCTAATTCTGTAGCTCTTCCCAAAATGGCTGCCAGGTGAGCACCTGCGTCATTTTGGCCAAGACCGCTTTGGAGCAGGGTCTTCCAGCCAGATCTTGGAATTGCATTTCATTGTCGCCCGGGACACAGTGCTAAGTAGCAGACACCTTGTCCATGACACCATGGAAGCTGTCATGGGGCGTGTGGGCAAGGGCAACGGCATTAAAGGAGGAAGCTCCAGGTGGCGTTGGAGCCACTCTGTCACTCCTTGAAAACAAGACTACCTCGGGACACTTAGGGTGACCTGCGTGTCACCAAGTGAGAAATACAGTGTTGGAACGTTTCCAGTTCTTGTCTTGATTGTTCTGCCTTCTGAGGGTTGTTCTGAGCCTCCTTATCACTACTGCATGCAGGTTTTGAAACTCAAGGGGGGATTTCTTTTTCATTGAGGTGCTTGTCTATAAGGAGCCCTCTTGTATTTCAGTTTATTTATTTATATATATGCTTATTTATTTATTTGTAGTTAGTATTTGCAGTGCTTCTTACGTCCGGAGCATTCACAGAGAAGCTTCATTGACCTTTTCTTGCCCAGGACAGATTCGACCATGGTCTTCCTCCCCTCCGCAGGACTGCACAGCCCAGGCTGTGAATGACCTTGGACTCTACTCTGAATGCCCCGCCCCGCCCCCGGGCTGCTGAGAACGCTGTTCGGATGTGGTCCACATTCAGCAAGCCGTTGCCAAGCCCTGCCCTGGGACAGAAGATGAAATGGGTCTGAAGAACTCTTCAGTTCTACCGTAGACTCTGCAGAATCCTGGAAAGAAGGAGCTAGAAATAAAACTGGGCATGGGGATGTGGACAACTTGAGGCTGCTCCACACTGTCAGAGAATCCCTAAGGAAGTGTCAGCTTCTGGGTTCTTAAGGAAGAAATAAAAACCTGGAATCCCGAGTGGAACTGTGCGTTTATAGAGACCACCGGATCCTTCCCCCCGTGGTTTCTTGTGTGCAATCCCTGGTTGTGTACCAGCTGTACAGCTTGTTGTCTCCCATGGGGAGTGTCTTAGGTGAGCTATAAAAGCACATGCATGGCCCCCCACTACTGGTCTTCTAGCCTTTGCTTTCTGTAAAGTCATTGAAGCCCTGACTTTTTACTTCCATAGCTCAAGGAAGTCACAACACAAATGCCTCTGGGAAAATCTGGTTTAACTTGCGCTGTTCTTGTATTTGAACTCCTCCGCAAAGAGGTTTCTGGAAGGATAATGTCAAATTCGGTAGGACCTTCTGTGAATAGCAATGGGAAAGGGAGTACTCTTACTTTCTCAGTTTTCCTTCCATTCTGATATTAAACCTTAGTGACAAGCTCTGGAATCCCTGGCCTACCCTCAGGGTTTTATTTTTGTTCTTACTGTTTCATTTTGGTTTTGTTTTGAAATTCTGGGTCGATTCCCAGGGACTAGATCGTCTCCCTCTTAACCCCTTGGTACTTGGCAAAGAGAAGGAGGCAAGAGAATTCTACTTCTCTGTTTTATTTGCGCCTCGGCTTTGTCCTGATGCTCGGTGCTATGAGGCCAGGTGTGTAGGCAGGTGTCTGCACAGGGTCCCGGTGACGCCCGGTGGCTGCTGACTGTTCAGTGAAATGTTTACTTGATTTTCTTCCTTAGATTTTAAATATGTAGTTGCACCTCACTTGGATTGTGGCATTTAAGTGTGCCTCAGTGTCGGCATCCTAAGAGAAAAGTCACCCAGAGTGACACCGAGGCACGAAGGCTTCCAGGGTCGCGTGCGTGGAGCCCTGCTCTGCGCAGTGAGTGGGGGCACCCACCTCCTCGTGCTGCTTTGGGTGGTCAGCAGTGCTGGGATTTCAAGTCTGCACAGGAGTCCTGGGAAGTAGAGGAGGATTGTTTACAGTTTTCTCCAAAACAAAAACACTTGAATCTCTGTTCCAAGGAAAAGCCTCCCCATACTGTAAAGAATGTGTACTTTCTGCTCTTTAACCGTGAGACCAAGCAGGAGAACTGAGGCACACAGCTCAGAGAGAAAACAGACTTTAGGTTAAAGAGTCATTCCGCAGCCGCCAACGGTAAGAATGATGACGCAACCACGTCTCACAAGTTCCCACAAGTTCTAGGGATTTTTTTGGATCAAAACAGTGGCTGTCACCCTTGCTCAGAATTAACTTCAAGAGCATGTGACGGAGCCAGTTTTGCAGAATGTGTGATTGCCTTTGTTCTGAAATACTACTGAGTTTTTGTGAGCTCCCGGACCACTCCAGCATGGGCATGTCTCCGTAATTTTGTGGCAAAGGGACCATAACTGGCGTCGAGGAAGTGAAAATGGTGTTTCAGGGTTTGGATTCTGATCCTGTGAGAGGTGCCGTGTATTGTCGTGGGTAGAGAAGATCTTATTTGGACTGGAAAGAGGTCAGGGTGGACCTCATGGAATGTAATCATGAATGACTGAGGGTCATAGTATTTTATAGGAATGGCACGTTTAAGAGGACAGTGCAAAAAATGTATTTGCTGCATTAGATTTGATAGTAGTTGCTGAGTTATTTTCCTTAGTGTTGAGTCTAGACCCCTGAAGTTTGAGAAGCCACACTTGAAACCCAGGATTTTATATAAATCCAAAGAAAAGCACAAGATCTGAGTCTAGGTAACGATGAAGCTTACAAATCTTTGTTCTTCTTCCAGGACTTCATATTCCCATAAAAACCATTTCTGTTTCTAAGACAATATACTGTAGCATTCTGAAATTAAACGAAGCTTTCTGGTGTATCGGGATTTCCATCTCTGGTTTTCTTAATCTGACCGTTATAGAATGCTCCCAAAGAGATGTGATTCTAACCCAGCAAGAATGCATAAGCGAAAGCTCGTGGTGGTAACACAGAAAAAATTTAGGCTGAAATGGAATATTTCTTCTTCCTGGGAAGCAAAAGGGCTATACAAAACCGGGCCATCACAGACTGAGCTTGTTCGGGCCACGGCTGAAGCTTCCTAAGGTTTTGCTCAGCACTAGCGAGTGGGGCATGGCCTGGAGACTCCCTTCCCCTTCGCTGAGCCTGTGATCCTGTGCGTAGGCATCCTTAGTTCTTTCCTTCTCAGTAAAGAGACTGCACGCTACTTCAGGGCTGAGTGCTTCGCAAACCCCAGTTGACTAGCACGAAACGTAAGGTCCCTAATGTTTAGATTGTATGTTTCATGTTCAAGGGCTGCACAGTTGTAATTCTTCCTTCCGGGCATGTATGTGGAGAATGCTGTCCGGGCTCATTTCCCGAAAGTGTGGTGTAAGTTCACAAAACTTGACTGGGTGTGGTATCTTATCTGCACTGTACGATGAAATATGCAGGCTGAAAGAGATCTACCACCATGTTTGTTCCTGGGTTCCTGAGATGTGTGCTTTCCCAATACATGCTAAATAGCCTTGTAGTGGCAAAGGGAAACAAATACAAATTAATACCATCAAATATGCCAATGGGCAGGAAGTTCTGTGGTACGGTGTAGAAGAGCGTGGTTGTCGCTCTAATTCTGCTGATGTTCTAGTACGTCTTGGCCCCCTGCCTCGGGCTGTTCCCTGGTATTTGCCACCGTAGCTTTGTGGCTCAGAGATGTTTCCTTGGGACACTCAGGAGCGAACGGATGAAATGACAGGTGGTTTACCGAGAAGCTACCCTTAATTCCAGATGATTCTGAATAGCTCTTTACTGCCCCATGAGAACCACTGTCTCCTTAGCCTTGTAAGACTCCCCAAGCGTCCTGCTAGAAACAGTGACCTGGAAAATACACTACAAAATGTTTCTGACCTTCTTAAAATTCCACAGTCGTACACTGTAAAAACATTCTAATACTACCCTGCTTTAAGCATATAGTATTTTAGCATCTTTGTAGTATTTTAGTGTCTTCTCCAACAAAACTCGTTCTTAGAACCTTTCAAATTCTTTTTCCTTGTTTTCTTTTTCTCTGTGGTGCTGGAGACCGAACCCAGGGCCTTGTGCATACAAGGCAAGAAGAGCTCTGTCACTGAACCACATCCCCAACCCTCAAATTCATTTCTAAGCCAGATAATTTAGATAAAATGTTGCCCTTTTCTGGGAATCAATCCCACAGCCCACTGAGGCAACCCCATCTCTGGTCTGGAGACATTTCCTGTGTGTCCTTCCCGTCTTCTCGTTGGCCACTTTCTTCTATCTTTTAGCCGTCCTCCATCCCCGGCTAATTACTGTAAAGCACAGTATGCCAGCAGAAGACATGGGCTTTAGGTGATACCCAGCACACTCTATCACAGTGGTTGCTTCCTGGTCTTCTCAAGTGCATATTCTGCTCCTCACTCCCACCCAGTCGTTAGAACTATACTTGATTGGAACCCGGAACTTAGGATCAATACTTAGATCAAATAGCACAGGCTTGCTCACACAGCACTTTGAACAATCAAATACAGGCCTTCAGTAGCTCTGTACATTTGCAATTTTACATTCGTTATTAGTTCATAGCACTAATAACATTTCAGTTATGAATCTTCAGCATCAGTATGGTATATTATAAAACATATTCAGAAATAATATTGCTGCTATTATACTAATTTACACCACAATTTTAAATATTAAATATGATTGTGTATGCAGTATTTGTATTGTGTATATGCCAGCTTCTTAATGCTTAACTTCCCTGATCAACTATTTTAAAAATACAGAAATTGTAGTGAAAATAAGTCTTGGTCAAATCAGATAATTTATATATCTGATAAATGCTCTCAGAAGTGTTACATTTTGTCCTCTATTACTCATTTTCCACTAGAGTGCATGTTTGCTAAATTAAAATAACAAATGATATCCATTTTAAGGTTAGGATAAAAATGTTGCATATGTGCTGCTGGAAACTCTTAAAAATGTATTTTGTGGCTTAATTCTTATCTGCACACATTTCATTTGGCTTTTTTCTCTCTAGGATATGAGTATTCAAATATCTCTCGTCTCTCCTATAACCTCAGTTAAACTGCTTAGTTTACCTAGAACATTGTAAAGCCAAATACCTCATTTTAACTGAGAAAAGATGTGAATGTGTATCATGACATGATGTGTTTTCTTGTGTTTGATTTGAACTGCTTAAATGGACTTCAACCTAATAATAAATGTAAAACTTTGACTGCATTTTTCCTTTGTAAATGAACATTTTATTATTGATCTACTTCTGATTTAAAGAGCTAAGGATTCAATGTCACTAAAATATCTTAGTATACAATATTGGATGAAAATCTCAGTTCTGTCTAGCACATTCCAGGGTGAGCCACATATGCCTGCAGTCCCCCAGGGAGCTGTGTGTGAAATGCGCATGTCCCGCGCTTTCCCTGGTTCACCTTTAGCACCTATTATCTCCAGTAAATGTGCACCAGACTTTACTGACATCTGTATCTCCCTTGACCACCAACTCTAGCCCATATTAATCTGAGTTGTTGCATACTGCCCAGAAATAGACCAACGCTGAGGATATATGTTTGTTCACACAGTAAAAATGGACCTGAAGTTTCGATTGCAATGAAGATTTTAATATTTTGTTCCTAATTATTTCAAGTAGACTAACAGCACTTAATTTTAATGAATTTATTTCTTGCTTTATGTTCTACAAAAATAATGGATTGACAGTGGAAGTTGTTTGTATGACTTTAGCAGAGATCAAATTAATTCCAAGCATTATTTATCATCATCAAATATTGGAACAGGTAATCAGGAATAAGGATATGTATGCATGATAATAAAAGCACAGCTGTATGGGTGATATGTAGTATGGTATAGCTATGCTATAAGAACATACTGTGAAGAGCATAATAGAAACATTCTGCCTGTATATGTAGTTAGTGTTCAGTAAAATACCGTACTGCTCTGGTTGGCTGTGTCAAGCGCTACATTCAGAAATTCTTTGTTTTTTGAACGATAGATCATATGTTGTAGATAGAGCCCGGTTCAGACAGAAGCAAGGCAAGTATAACCTGCATAGTGTAATTGCAGAGGAAACTTCTGTTCAATTTTTGAATGTATACTTCAGCTAGGACATTTCCTCTATGACGGTGGAGATCTTGCATTGTGTGTGAACTCTTTAATATCTAATTACAGATTAATTTATTATATTATGGTGAGGTTATACACATAGTTAATGAGCAGACCTGGGTTTCTCTTCCAACTTTGTCACGTCCTGGGTGTGTGACCTTAGGTAAATTCTGTGTCTATTTCTATGTGTATAGAATCATGGACTAACCATTCCTTCTGTGAAGGTGGTAAAGCATATAAGAGAGCTAAAAACCCAAATAACATGTATGTAAAGCACTTCAGCACAGAACATTTGGTAGATAGTAACTATTCCGGAGTAGCTGTTAGTCTTTCACTCAGGGCATCTCCCTTCTCCCAATAGCATCCAGTACCATCCTTTTAACATGATTTACTGGTAACCTTTGTGTTGACTGAGTTATTTAGCAGAAACGAATGAATGAAAGACAATGCAGGTATATTCACACAGTGAAAGAATGCCTTAGCCAGGCGTGGTGGCACACGCCTGTAATCCCAGCACTTGGGAGGCTGAGGCAGGAAGATCATTGCGAGTTCAAGACCAGCCTGGGCTACAAAGTGAGCTCAAGGCCAGCCTGAACTGCATAGGGAGACCCTGTCTCAAAAAGAAAAAAAAAAAAAAGAATGTCTAGTGTGGCAGGATCACAGAGCCTCCACAGCAAAAGGTCAGAGCAACTGGAGGAGGTGTTGGGTGCTTAAACTGGGTCTTTTCCTTCACAGGTGAGAGGAGGCGGTCATCAGGGCCAAAGAGATGCCTGAGCAAGCAGAAGGAAGGCAGCCAGAGACAGCATCCCGGGATTTGTCCTGGGTTCTCACCTCTGGAAGTGTACCTTTCTAGATTCAGTCCTTGGAGATTCTGGTTCTTTATTTCTGGTTCTTTATTTCACAGGAGAAGTCAATGGAAATATGTGTTTTGGTGTGCAGCCAGTTACAAAGCCAAATATACATTTCTCCCAGGGCGGAACAATGCCCCTGGTGGTTATCCGATGACCTGGAGTGGAAGATGCCCTCACCTTAACTAATAATATCATTAATTATGCAGTCCACTCAGATTAATTAAGAAAGTTTCAATTTATGGATGAAACTTATCCCTCCTTCCCTCACCAAAAAGGCAGTAGTATCTAGCTGACGGTAGTATTTCGTTCGTATTGCATTGATTTTTTAGTTACCTTCTCTTCATAGCAAGTGATTTGGAATGCTCAGTGACATAAAATTTCATTTCAAAATTATTAAAGTTTTTAAAGAGTGCCTTGGGAAGAAGCTATGCAAATAAGTTGTTGATCCTTTCCAGCTTTTGAAAAAAGAAAAACAATAGAAACTAGTATAGTTGATTCTACCACACACTTGCCCAAGACTGGGTTTAGCTTATACTCTTTTTAAATATTCTGTTCTCAACTGAAAAGTGAGGCAAGTCCCCCTCATGCTCACATACTCTCCATGTTGTTCTTTTTGGGGAGGACAATTTAACCTGGGGAGATAAACATGTTGGAGTCAGTCCCGTGGCTGTGCTGGGTATAAATGGAACGCAGTGAGCAAACCCCACTTCTTCAACTTCGAAAGTGATTCCTTTTCTGATTCCTGAGGTTAGAATTCCTGAGCATCCTGGATCTTTGTTGCGGCTTCTCCCCGCCCCATAGGAATTCTGGATCAACAGTACATTTTTGTTTACCCCTCTTCAAATCTGCTCACTCTGACCAGAGGAGTGTTATTATTTTTAAGACTTGAAACCTTTCATTCTCAGGGAGGGTAGGAGGCTGCAAGGGAGGGACAGAGGTCAAAGCCCATGCGCCTCCAGCCTCACCCAGGACAGCTTGGACAAACGCCACTGAAACAAAAGCCCTAGTCAGCCTGGGGTGTTTTCACAGCTGGGCAGTGTTTGGGGTAACAAGGGGAGAGGAGACACAGAAGTGTCGGCCTCTGTCCAGCCGCACCATGCAACTGCAAGAGCCCTAGGCAGTCAGATGGCTTCAATCTAAGGGGCCAGGCATCCAGAGAACAGGATTTATCCCCTACAGAAAGATCCTGAGAAGCGAAGCTCTTATTGCAAAAGCAGGCTACTGAAAACGGTTCTTTGTTTAACCTGAGAACCTAGCTGTTTTTTCGCTTGAAAACTTTCTGCCCTGATCCTCACTGGGTGCTCATTCAGTTTAAGCTCAGGAGTTTCATTTCTAGGGCCTCTGTAGTATGCAAGAGGAGGAAAACATAAGCCTGACGTTTGCAAAAGCCTCCCCCGCCAACACCCTTGTAAACATAGAACTAAACTGCTCCAGTGCAGGGAGGCCAGTGAACTGTTTCAGGCACAAAATCTCAGGTGAATGTGCACTTTTTTTTCTAGTAGAGGATCCATAGCTTTCACTACATTCTCCAAATGAATACATGATCCTTAAGTGTTATAAACCACCATGTTTCCAGTATCTTTGAGATTGAATTATCATTAAATGTTAAGCAAGCAAGGCTGTCTAGTTTGGCTGGTATTAAAACTTTTTCATCCTTTCTGTTAAGAAAAAATAAAGTTAAGATGATTGTTTTCCAGTAAAGGTGCCCTCTTTCTTTCTTTCTTTCTTTTTTCTTTTTTTTTTTTGTCTTTTTGAGACAAAGCCTCACTATGCAGTTCAGGCTGGCCTTGAGCTCACTTTGTAGCCCAGGCTGGTCTCAAACTCACAACAATCCTCCTGCCTCAGCCTTCCAAGTGCTAGGATTGCAGGCCGGCGCCACCATGCCCAGCAGCCCTCTTTCAAGAGGTAAGATGGTATAAAACAAGACAGGAAAAGACTGAGCCAAGTGCAAAAGGGCCTCTGTGATAGATAGTATCTAACAAGATTGCACGGTCAGGGGCCAGAGGGAGCAGGAGAGCTGGTGGACAGAGACGGCTGGGGCACCATGTGCAGATCTGCGTACCTCATTGCAGAGGAACATAAGTAAACTGGAGCCTCCCTGAGGAACAGCAACTAGGAGAAGAAAGGCTCCAGGGCCATGTTGCACAGAACTAAGGGGTACCGGAATGATAAAAATTGAGGTAACAGGAATGTCTTCAAATATTTTCAAATAGATGATTAAAACTTTAACTCTGGAAGCGATTAAAGAACATTTGTACCGGATATTACTCTACCAGAGAAAAAACTGCAAGCCTGGAGAAAAATGACTGGCTAAGGCAGACATGGAACTAGATTCCAGGTTCTGCAACCCTTCCTAACGCTGCTGCTTACAATTTCTGGCTGCCTTGCTACGTGTCTTATCTGCAAGGAAGAAGTAGAACAAGGGGTTGACACTGCAAGAGGGTGGATCTTGGTTTAACCACTTAACAGTTCGATTATTTAAATACAGGATGACCACAAACTGCATTTTTAACTTTTACGAGATAATAGGACAGGAAATATAAAAATATCCATTCTATAAAATTTATTCAATAGTTTTTCTGTGCATGGTGAATCTTAAAATATTCAATACGCAACAATCCGGTCAGTACGATCTAGTCTCTTTCTGAAGTGTATGGCATTATCTTTCTTTGAACAGTATACTTTACACTGTTGCGTTGGCCTCGCTCCTTTTTTCCGTGGGTGGTATAATTTCAGTAAACTTCTACCTGTCCAACATAACGGTGAAGACACCAGTGGCGGATGTCTTGGTTGATATTTCCCTATCCTGCACTTTTCAGTTCTTCAGTCTATTAGACCTAATCTAAATTGTGAATGACTTTTTGAACTCCCTTGTTTTGAATAAATACCAGATGAGTTCCATATTGTTTGGTCCAGAAAGCTCATAAATATTTCATAATAATATTTTTTCTCGCTTTTTGGTGATAGGATAGTTTGTTAGATATTGGTCAACTCTGCCAATACCACCCATAGGATTATTATAATCATTGATCCCTTTTAGAATTTTAAAGTTTTCTTTCTTCGAGTTCTTTCATTTGTGTTATGAATAGTTAATAATAAAGACATGTCCTTTTTTTTTCTTTCCATTTCATAACACAGACTTTTCCTCTCTGATGTACTAACATTTCTCCCTTTTTTCAGTTTTCTCTCTTACAGATCTTTTGGCATTTCCTTCCTGTTCAGTCTCAGTGTCCCAACTGTGTCCATTTGGTATTA